CTCCGCCGCTCCCGGTCCCCGCCCGCCCCGCTGCCCGCCGGTCCCCGCTGCCGCTCGGCGGGCGGAAGCCGCGCTGCGATCGCTTCGCCGCCGCCTCCCCCGCGCCCCTCTCTGCAGCGGCGGGAGGGGCTCCGCCGCCAGCCAGGAAATTCCGCATTGGTTCCCCTGACGGCGGGCCAGGCTCCGGGGGCCGCCGCCGCCGCCGCCCCGGCCCCGGGCAGCGCCGCCCCGACGGCCCCGAGAGGCTCCACCGGGTGGGCAGCGCCGCCGAAATCGGGGTGGGTCCCCGAGGGGGAATGGGAGGATGCGGAGTCCTGGCTTCCAGCGCAGCCCGGGGGTCCTGCAGCTCCCGGGAGCCCTGGGAGTCCAGCGGCTCGGGGTGTGGATGGCCCGCGAACCGGTGGCTCCGGGGATCGGCTGTCACGGCGGTCCGGCAGCCCCGGAGCCCCGGGAGTCCCCAGCAGTCTGAGGGTCCCCGGGCTCTGGGTCTCCCGGGATTCAGCAGCTCCAGGTCTTCGACAGCCGTGGGTGTCCCAGATCTCCCGGTTTTGAGTGTCCGTGTCCCGGGGGTCTGGCGGTCCCAGGCTGTGGCTGTATCTGCAATCCGGCAGCCCGAGATGCACAACAGCCCGGAGATCTATCTGACCTATGGTTCCAGTAGCTCCAGGGGTCCCTCAGGCCTGGGTGCCCAAAGACCTAAGGGTCAGCCTGTCCCGGCAGTCTGATAGCCTTCAGGAGCCCGAAAGCCCCAGTATCCACCTGACCTAGGGTTCCAGCAACTCCAGATGCTGGAGGCAGCCGCAGGATCTGGCTTCCCCAAAGGTCTGGTAGCCCCATGTGTGTGGCAGCCCCAGTGTCCAGCTGTCCAGCATGTCCAGGAGGTGCCAGATGCCAGTGGTCTGTCATCTCCACGTGTCTGGCAGGCTGGACAGTCTATTGGGAGCCATGCAAGACCCATGGGAGCCAAATGGTGCCAGCAGCAGCAGAGCCAAGGACCCTCTACAGCGACAGAAAGGCTTCAGAGCAGCCACTGGTTAACCCACTGTGAGGACACAGCTGGGAATCAGGGGGGACACCCTGGGTACCTGCATGAGTCCTACACCTCTAGCAGGGTGGAGCAGTCAATAAACCTCCTCAGCCTGACACGGCAACAGCGCTGAATGGGCCAGGGCTTTCTTGGCCACCATCCTGTGCCAGTTGGATTTTCAGCTTAATGGTCACTTGCAAGAGATGCCTCAAGGTTCTTTGAGCTCCCAGGACACCTGATAGCAGAATGGGGGAAATGTGGATGGTAGTGCAAATGCACTTAAGGTAGTGCAAATGCAGCTGGACAGCTGCATGTGTCCCCTGAATGCCAGCGGCTTACACAGAGCTGGGGAAGGTGTACAGACAGTGCATCTCCCCTAGAGCTGCCTCTGAGCACCACACATCTCCAGGGATCTCCTGTGGATGGGGAGCCTCCATCCCTGTAGGCATGAGCTGAGCAGCATCCTTCTGCAGAGGATTGGGGAGTTCTGAGCAGTTGGGATCCCTGCACCAGGCAGAGAGCAAAGGTGTTTGGTGGGTTCTCTCCATCTTCAGTTTGGCAATACTGATGCTCTTGAAGGCTTCTCTCCTGCTCAGACAGGTGACTCCCAATGGAAGGTCTTTGGTGGTCTTACCAGTGGGAATATGACCATAGGGCAGCAGTCCCTCTCCCCCCTCCTATTTTCCTGGGCACATTCCATGTGTTTGGCAGTAGCACCAGGGAGTAGCATCCCATGCCCATCTCCACCTGCCTCCACATCCCTGTACCCCCTGCCCCATCCTGCTCACAGGTGCAGGAATGTGAAGAGCATAGAGGCACAAATTGCTTCCTTGGGATGACTCAGGCTGAGCTCAGCATCCCTTCCTGCTGAGGAAAGTGGGATGGGGAAGGTCAGCTCCAAAGTTAGGCAGAAATCTGGGTTTGGTGGTGGTGCCTCCCCTGGCAGTTGTGCCCACCTTGAGCTGTAGTCTTACCCAGGCTTCTTTCCACAGCTTCATCTCCCTGCACTGTGCTGAGCAGCCCTTGTGCTCTGCTGTCCCAGTCAGAACAAGCCAGGGCAAGATCACACTGCCTCACCTTTGCTGTGCTGGTGATTTGTGTGAGGATATGTCAGCTTTTGTATGTTTTTTTGGCTTTCATAAACTTAACTTCTCTTTCTTTTTGCCAGCAGGCAATGCAGCTTGACTGCTCCGTTTCTTCCATGTAACCCATGGCAGGGCAGGGACTGGGCTGCAGCCAGGGAGATAAGCTGTGCCCTCAGAAGATGCTTCCAGCTGGCATAAGAGACTGGAGAAGCTGAGGATGCTGTGGGGAGGAGGCAAGGGGAGGTTGCACAGTGCTCTGGGCTGGCTGGTGCTGCCAGGGCCTGAGCACTGCACATCCCACAGGTAGCACCCACCTCTCCCTCCTCTCCCACTGATCCTGGCCAGGCTGTTGTCCATGCAGAGCTTGGCCCATGCTTTCCATCACACCACTATTTGCAGCTCCCATTTCAGACCCTGCCAGATGCCTGTCTCCTGTCTTTCTGTGTTTTGGAAAACACTCCAGACGAAAGAAACCCCAGCACTATAATACTTCCCAACACAAAACTAAGTAAAAAGATGCTGTTTTGTCAATGGTTCAAAAATCCCCATGGCTGCTTCGGTGGGCAGGACTGCACAACGGGGCATGGTGGGACCTACAACATGAGGTACTTGTCACCCTCTTCACTGTGCCCAGGCTGTCAGGATGGTTTCTGCAAGGATATGGCTCCTTCCCTTTCCAACTCCCCACTGCTGCTGCAGCACAGGGTCCTACACACACACACACACCACCTTTCCATGCCTCCTCTTCCTCCAGGATGAGCAGAAAACAGCAGCAGCAAAAGCTAAAACTGAGCAGGGTGGGGAAGGTCTTCGGTATGGGAGTGTTGGTTGGGTCAGTGCACCCAGAAATAAAAGCAGCAGTTGCTATTTTCTGGCTGAGCATGGATACAGCTGTGGCAGGGGACAGTTAGGTGGGATATCAGGGAAAGGCTCTTCCCTGAGAGGGTTCTGGGCACTGCCCAGGCTCCCCAGGGAATGGGCACGGCCCCGAGGCTGCCAGAGCTCCAGGAGCCTTTGGACAGCGCTGCCAGGGATGGACAGGGTGGGGTTGTTGGGGGGTCTGGGCAGGGCCAGGAGCTGGGCTGGATTGCTGGATCTGGCAAGGCCAGGAGCTGGATCCTTGTGGGTTCCTTCCAGCTGAGAACATTCTGTTCAAGGCTGTGGGGAACTGGGAATTTGGGGGTTTCAAGAGCATTCTGTACCTTAGGTGTTCAGGAGGCAGCACCTGCAGCCCCACACAGCCCCTGCGAAAAGGCGCACACAACACCACTGACCCAGGCTGCTGAGCTGTTCTGTCCTAGGAAGAGGACTGAGGCAGGGATTATCTGCAAAAATGAGGGCCAAGAGAGGCTTCTCCTGCCCTCCTACACAGATGTCTGTGTGTCTTTGCAGAAGCTCACAGTGCTCCTGCATCAGCCAGCCCTGGGTGCAGCTGCAGCATCAGAGCTCAGCCCCTGGGGCACCAGGGTACTCTGTGCCACTGTCACAGCATCCTGCATGGGCTGGAAGGCAGCCCAGGGCCTAGAACATCTCCCACCTTCCTTTAAATTCCCGGAGCCCAGCTGCTGCCTGCACCAGTGCTGTTCTGGTCCCATGCTCCAGGCAAGGCTCCCTGCTCCCCTACAGGTTTTTTTTTTAAGGCAGAAGAGTCTCAGCTAGAGAAAAGGCAGGAGATGAACAGCTCTGGAAAGCCAAAACATCTCCCCTTTGTTGTGGGTGGCTCACCAAGTAAAGGGGCTGACCCCAGAAAAAAGGAGACACTGCCACAGCTCCAGGCAGGGAATCCCAGAGATGTCTGTGGTCCTGCAGAGCCCAGGCAAAAGTGCCCCTAATTTGAGGCATGAAAGCCTGCAGGGTGCATATCCCCCAAAAGCAAGTCTCTCCCATGCTGCCACCCCCTCTTCTGCAGGTAGGGGGATGGCCCAGGGCTCCCAGCTCCCCCCAAACCCATCACAGGAAGGTTCACAGCTTCTCCAGTCCCTGTCCCAAGAAGTTTGGCCTCACTCCTTTCCCCAGGCTCAGTCTCAGGCTGCATGCAGCATTAACCCCCCTTTGAGACCATGGCAGTGCCTGGGCACACGTGGCTGCCCAAGAACAGAGAGAGAGAGACGGGAGCAGGAACAGTTGTGCTTTAATAACTTCCATTCTCTACAAATCCAGTGTACAGCAGAGACAAGTTGTGGTCCAGCTCCTGGTGCTCCCACTGCCGTGGTCCATCATTAGAACCAGGCACTGTGGGCAGAAGTGGTACAGGGATGGGGCCAGCCCACTCCCCTCACCCCTCCTGCTCCATCGGACGTGTGCCTGAGGATGGACAACCCCAGGCAGCTTATCCCAGTGGGATGGGGGAGAGCGTGGACCTGCCCAGCTCTGGTCAGTGCAAAGCCAGTGAGCAGGCAGGTGGCTGTCTGGGACAGGCAACGGGGGCTGATCCTGCCCCTTCAAAGGTCAGGTGGAGGCTAAGTTCCAACCCTGGCAGAGGCTGGAGGAGCTTCTGGCTGAGGCCAGCTTGTCCCCAAGTCACCCAGCCCACCTGGACCTGAGCCCATGGGCACAAGGCAAGTGGATAAATCACCCTGTGCAATCCTGCCAGGGAAAAAACACTGGGACAGTGTTCATCAAGGCACAGGGCAGGCTGGCAGGAGAGCCCCAGCATCTCCCCAGGGACAGCTCGAGAGGCCGTGGGATGGCAGAGGGACATCCCTGGAGCAGTGCCAGTGGGGGTGATCCCAGAGGCCACCGAAGGTGTAACTGGTTCAACAGCAACAAGGACACTTCTCTCCCAGGGCAAAGGGGGCTGGGGGAGCTGCAGCAGAACTGGGATGGGGAATGGTGACAGTGGTTCAGGGTGAAGGTACAGGAGCCCCAGGGCTGAGGCTCCTCAGTGGCCGAAGAGGTTCCCTGTGAGGAGACGCCTCTTGACCTCCTTCCAGAGCAGGTCCCGCTCACGCTTCGCCCGCTGCATGAAGCCCCTGTTCTCCTGGGCCCGGCGGGACAGGTAAGGCAGCACCTCGTTCACTGGCCCGTAGGGCACGTACTTGTACACGGGGAAACCAGCCTGGCCTGGGGGAGAGAGGCTGCGGCTCAGGGAATTGCCGAGAGAGAAAAAAAATGTGCAAAAAGGGGGAAAAAAAGGTAAAAAAAGGAGGAAAAAAGTGAAAAAATGTGAAAAGGGAAAAGAGGAGGAAGATACTTGAAATGGGGAAAAAGGGGGCAAGGGGGAAAAGAGTGGGAAAAGGGGAGGAAGGGACAGGAATGGGGAGAAAAAAGGGGGAGAAGAAGGGAAAAAGGGCAAAGAAAAAGGGGTGAGGATAAAAGGTGTGAGGAAAAAACAGGGTGGGGAGAAGAAAAAACAGGGAGGCAAATAAAAAAAGGGGGGAGGGAAGAAAAAAAAGCTGCCTGGCCTTCCCTGCCTGCCCTCCCATGCCCTGAGTGTTGTGCAGGAGGCTGTGGCTGGGCACTGGGATGGGGATCCCGGCAGCGGCGGAGCCTGCTGGGGGGGGCAGCGGTGCATCTCTCCCGGCTCAGCACCGGGAGCTTGGGAAAGCGCCAGAGGGAGGGGGCCGAGGTCACCAGGAGTCCTGGGAATGTCGGCAGCCGGGGCTGGGCCAGCTCAAGGAGCGTTCAACCAGAAACATCAAGTTAACACATTTTTCCAGCATGACCAGACGAGGCGGCCAAGCCCTGCTTCCAAGAGAACCCCAGGACAGAGCAGCATCTGTGCTGGACAGCTGCCCAGTTTGCCTCCTGCTGCTCTGCTGGTCTTGGGACTCTGTTCTGGACACTGGTGTGGGCAGGGGAATCAATTCCTGACCTGGGTTGGGTACCTGGACCCTTGTATGTCCTTCTGTCCATGCCCCTGGCAGTGCTGCTCTGCTGCCTGGGCTGGTGGCTGAGGACAAAGTCACACAAGAGGCTGGTGCCAGCCTGTTAGCCGAGAGCCCAGGACTCGGTGTGCACCTCCCATGGAACCAAGGGATGCCCCAAGGAGGTACAGGAGACTGTCTGGGACAGTTTCTGTCTGCCAGGACCAGTCTCTGCCCCACCCTGAGACCCCAATCTCTGCTCCAACTCCAAAGTGGGAATGTCCCTGCCCAGCCACTACAGGCTCATGGAACCTCAGGAGAGAGATGTGACTCTTCCCTTATAACCTCATCTACATCTTCCCCAAACCCCACCCAGGGGTCACAGCATTCCCCATAGCAAGGCTGTGCTCAGCCAGTGCTCTATGACAGGCCTTCCTTCCTTTCTTCCTTGACCCCACAGCAGCTGGAGCACCTCTGCCAAGCCCCCCCACTCCCATCACTCACCCAGGGGGAAGGTGATCTGGTCACACATGCCTAGCAGCTGCCCAAAGCACACCTTCTTGTCCGAGGGATGGATCCCCAGCTCCATCATCCTGCAAAACAAGCCTCAGCATAGGGGGAGAGCAGACACAGCAGAGCTCACCAGGGCAGTGTGTCCCACCAGATGACTGGGGATCATCTCCAAGTAGGACAGTGTGGCAGGTCCTAGGACCTGACCAGGTCCTAGAGGGATGCTGGGATGTAGAGCTGGAGGGATTTGTTTTTTTACAGCAGCCTCTGGGTTGGTGATGGGACCTCAGCTCCAAGCCCCATCTAAAGCCCTGAGCACCACGTGGGAGCCAGGATCCCCCCAGGTGGGCTCAGGGGGGAGCTGGCAAACCACAGCACATCTCCCAGCATTTCTGCTGGGCCCCACATTCCTCAAGCCCCTTGTCCCTGCCTCCCCACGCTGCCTGACCAGCACCCACCTGCGCAGGGCGAACTTCACGGTGTCCTCGTTGTGGGACGCCACCATCACACTGGCTTTCCGGCTGTGCTTGATCTCCTCCAGGACATAGTCCAGGCACCTGTAAGGCAACACAGGCCTCTGGTGAGGCCTCTTCCCACTGGGGCAACAGGCAGCAGTGTGGCTGGGGCTGTCCCCTACCTGTGGTACATCTCGTTGGTCTTCTCATAGGTTGGGTTGATGGGATCCTCATAGCCCATCTGAGCTGCCCTCTCCCTCTCCTGCTCCATGTAGGCGCCACGCACCAGCTTGGTGCCGAAATGCCAGCCCTCCCGGCGTGAGAGCTCCAAGTCCCTTGTCACATTGTTGTACGCCTCCTGTGACCAAGTGGAAGAGATGGCACAAGGTCACAGTGCCACCCTGACTGCCTCAGCAGCTGTGCCATTGCACTGCCATGGCTTCAGGAGATGAGGTCTGCATGCATCGGCCCCAGTGCCCTGGGGCACGCTGGCCTCACCTTCAGGTAGCACTGGTAGGTGTTGTAGATGATGGGCTGGCTCCCGTTGAAGCGGCGCTGCGTCTCCACGGTGAGGCGGCTGATGGCCGGCTGGAAGTAGCTCTGCTCTGCATCTACCATCAGCCTCACGCCCTTCTCCATGGCTCTCTGGGGGGTGAAGGACATGCAGGCTGGGTTCACAGTTCCATGTGTCCCTCTCTGTGAGTCCCCCAGCCCCAAGGCCCCCTCACCTTTGCAAGGACATCCATGCGTTGCAGCACCCTCTTCATCTGCAGCTCCTCCTCCTCACTAAAGCGTGAGAGCAGAGGCTCCAGCTGCCCAGTCTGAAACAAGAATGGCTTTGTGGCACCCTGCCTGCATCCAGCTCTGCCCACGGGGGACACAAACGCCCCTGGAGGGACTGCTGCCCCACCCCAGTCCCCACCATCCAGCAGGGCGCAACAGGGTGCCCATCCTGCCAGCCTGGTGGTTGCACACTGTGGTCACAGCATGGCTGAGCTTTGCAGCCACCAGCACCTACTGGAAAGAGCAGGAGACCCTTGCCCTGCTCCCACAAAGCCTCTGTGGGACCACTCTGGGGGTAGCAAAGGTGGGTACCCACCTTCCTGTTGGGGATGAGCAGAGGCCTGGAGAGCTTGGTGCGGCTGTCAAACAGGCTATTCCAGTCCAGCAGGTCCACAGTGCTGGGAGCAGAGAGCCAGGTCCTTGCTGGTGTCTTGCAAAGGCAGGGGGCTCTCTATCAGCTCCCAGCCCCCACCAGCAGGAAGGACACATGACATGTGCCACCCTGTCCTGTCTTGTCACCTCCACCCAAACTTCCCCTATGTTCCATTGCTATGCTGAGCCACAGCAGGCCTTTGGAGACCTCCCCTTGCTGCTGCCCCAGGGACAGGGACAAAGTCCCCCAGTGTCCCTGCCCTGCAGCATCCCCAGCTCCCAGGCAGCTTACCCGCTCGTGCCCAGGTTCTCGCCTGTGAACCACTGCTGGCTCTCTGCCTTGCTTGCAATGCCAAGGTTAGCCAGTGCCTCCTGCCACCAAAAGAAGCATCAGGGGTCTGTCTGCTTGAGGTGTCACAGCTCAGGGCTGCTCTGGCACCTCTGTATCCATGGCCACCTCCAGCAGCGCATCCCTGCAGCACAGCCTCCTCCCACAGGCTGCACCCGCCTCACCTGCAGCTTCTCCACCTCCAGCTTTGTGTCCAGCACTGCCCGCCCGGCCTGGCCCTCCTCTGCAGCCATTTGGTGGAAGAACCTCCGCCACTTTTCCAGCACCTCTGAGAAACGCACCTGTGGGGACAGGGCTCCAGGTGAGACACCCAGGCTGGAGCCTCCTGTCCTGGCAGGGCTTTGCAAGATCACACCCAGCCCGAGGCAGATGCTGATCCCAGAGCAGGGCAGTATAGACCCCACACATCCACCTTCCTGTCACCTTTAAAGTTCTAAGTTCTTTGTGTCTCCCCAAAAGTTGAGGCAGGGTCTGCAGGGGTCTTGAGCTCTCAGGGGACAGGCTGTTGGTGCCCACTCCTCACTGCCATTACTAGAGATGCCACCTGGCACCTGCCCCAGCAGAAGCATCATCGGTGGCCCTGACTCTGCCCCACCACCCTCTGCCACAGCTCTGGCACTCACCAGGAACTGGGGTCTGGCCAGTGCTGTCAGCTTGATGGCAGAGAAGCCTTCCTCTGAGCTGCCACCTGGATGGAACCACAAGGACAGAGTCAACCTGACCATCAGCCCTTGGGCAGGAGAGATATGGTGGTGGTGGGACTGAGAGATCCTTGCAGTCCCCAGCACAGTGGGGCTGTCCATGACACGTGGAACACTCACTTGAGGCATCAATACAGCGGAGGAAAGTCTCCATGTGCTGGTCACACTTGGCCTCGTCGGCATAGAAATAGGTGTTTGCCCCAGTGATTCCACCATGGTGATCCCCAAATCCCTGATGGGCTCGGTATTGCTTCTCCCTTTTTTCTGCTCCTGGGGTAGAAGAGGATGGAGATGGGCCATGCCCCACCAAGCTCCTACAGCCTCCCCAGGAGCTCCCAGTGTGGGTGAAGGGAGAGAGGCTCTGGCTTGGAGCTCAGAAGAGCCCCCAGCACTGACACGGGCCCTGCTTGCTCTGTGCCTGAGCAGAGGCTGAGTCTTTGCTGAGGGGCAAGACTGGGCCAGGAACCACGTTGCTCTTCCTCCAGCTCATTTTTTGAGACTGTAGTACCTGGGTCCTTCCCCCACAACACCAGGCCTGCCGTGCCTGGACCTCCAGGCTATCTCCTGTCACTCACCTCCCATTTCCTTCTCGGCTGCAGAGGTGCGGGAGCTAAGAAGAGAAACAGGAAAGATAAGGGCCAGATCAGCAACCTGCTGCAGCCCTACACTGATGGACAGGACAGCTCTGAGGCTCCCGTGCTGCCATCCTGGTGCTGGACCCTGCTGTTCCCTCGCCATCCCATCACTGATGGGATCCAGCTGGCAATTCAGATGCCCAAAACCCACCTGTGGAAGGGAACAGGGCTTTACCATCCATCCAGGGAAGACCTGGGAGCCCTGAGGCAGCACAGTGAGGATGGCCTGTCCCAGGGTTCAGAGCTGCTCTCCAAAATCCCACACCATTGCAAAGACAAGGTCAGTCTGGTGGGATTGGCATGCTCCATCTCCAACCTGCTCATGGTCCTTGCTGTGGTGACACCAAGCCTCAACCCACTGTGTCCTCACCTTGATGGCTCCAGCAGCCAGACCACAAAGCATGGAGCTTCTCCAGACCCTACGCACAACAAGCTGAGGGTGCCTGCTGCCTCACACTCCTCTGTGCCTTTGCTTCAGCCAACAACTCACAAACAACATCTCGTTTTCAACTCCAGCTGATCTCAGATGTCATTTTAAGCCCAAACTTTCTGTCATGGAGATAACAGGGCTCTGACAGCTTGGGGGATGATGGCCAAGTCACGACATCCTGAATGAGCTTGAGTAGCTAAGCCTTCTTGCTGACACCCTAAACCCAGTCACAGACCCAGGGTCTGACCTGGAATGGGGCCAGCCCCTGGAGAGCAGCCCTGGGTGACAGCAGAGCCATCCCGTGCAGGAGGCCTCTGCCTTGGCATCCCTGTCCCCAGACTGGCTGTACCCAATGGCAAAGAAGCGCGGTGTGAGGGAAGCAGCAAAGCCACCCATCCAGAGCCAGCAGGCTGGCCCAGAGAGCGGAGAGGCACATGGCAGGGTCCCAGGACACATTCTCCCATTTGAAAACCCTGTGACAGGGATTAGGCGCTGCTGAAGCATAACAACCTGAAACAAGCTGTTCCCTCTGGCCCCCTGGAGCCAGGACCAGCCCCACATCGCTCAAAGTGCCACAAAGCCTGGCATGAGCCAGGGCAGGAGCAGCTGGAGCTCACGGGAAGCAGAAGGCACCATATCTAGCAGGTTCTGCTCCCTGATTTTACTCACCTGAGCACAGGGAAAGCAGCTTTCTGTCCCTGAGTACAGAGGGTGGAGGAAAGAAAGGAGGAGAGATCATACACTCAGCAATGGGATTTGTCAGCAAAGCCTTTGCTAGGTGGAAGCTCCCTTTGGAGCAGGTGGCATGGCATAGGGGACAGCTTCAGCTGAATACTGCTGTGACACGAGGGCACACGTGGGTCCTGTGGGCAGGGGACAGCTCTGAGCACATCCTGGGCACCACATTCAAGGTACTGGGGACAAGTGGCTGGAGTGAAGGCAAATAGCAAACAGCGCCCTTGGAGTTAGAGTGTTTTATGTTCCTGAAGATAAACACACCCTTCCCAGCAGCATTTCTGCTGCATGACTGCACCAGCTGTTCCTTCATCCTCTAGGGGGCATTCAAAGCAGTGCCACGGTGCTTTGTTCTTCTGACTCAAGCAAAATAAAGGAAGATGCTTCCAGCTGAAGAAATAACTTTGTCCTGGATATCAGCTGCTTACTTTGCAATATTAATCTTGGCCAGAAAAGCCATTCCCTCACCCACCAAGTGCCACTGAACCCATCTTATACCTGACCATCACTTCTACAAACCCACAACAAGTCTCCCAGAGCACATCCCATCTCCAGGCACTGTCCAGACGCTCCTGGCAGGCTGTATCCAGACAGGAACAGCCTCAAGGTTGAGCTCAGGGCCTGAGAGCTCACACCTGCCTAAAGCAGGTTGTGAGGACTTGCAGGATAGCTGGGAAGGGTAATCCAGCTGACACAGCAGATGGGGCTTTCAGGAAGTTTTGGATCAGGCCAAATAAACCAGCTCAGGAGCAGCACAAAGGTCCCGCTGTCAGAAATAATTCCTTTGGCCCCACGGGTTACCCAGAGGGTGCTGGCAGCACAGCACGTATGCTTTGCTCATCAACAAATGGGTCTGGCAAAGCGGATGAGGGATCAGGGAAAAGCTGTCCTTGAATTACTACATCCAAGGAAAAGATTCATGGTTACACGAAGTCCATTTTGGAGCTATGGGTGGTGCTTAAAATCCCACAGGTGGGAAAAAAGCAAAGCCCTTGGCAGAATAGACCTTCAACCTGCTCCATGCAGGAGCTGTCAGCACACACCAGCCCACAATCACCACAGGCCGTGGAGAGCTTGAAGCTAAACAGAAGCTGCCCCATGATCCCAGGGAACATGCTGACAAAGCACAGGGCAGGGGTGGCAGCTGGGAATGGGCACTGGGAACAGGAGGAGAAGGGGAGGCAGCAGCTCTGGGAGCAGCATTGCCCAGGCTGGGGACAGTGATCCCACACTGGGGCAGGTGTCAGATATCCACACATGGAATTTCTAGAGGAAGCCAAGTCCACACTCTGCATGGCAGACCCTGACGAGCATCTGACAAAGCTGGGGGCAGGATTGTCCCTGACCTGTGTCAGCACAACCCCAACCCATGTGCAGACTTGGGATGCCTGTGTGCCAGCAATGGCCCCAAGGCTGCCAGGAGGCTACAACCACCTTCACTATGAGGGGGCTCGCTGCTTCATCCCACAGGCACCAGAAGCCCCTGCCCAGTGCTGCCTCTCCACCCCCCACCCAGGGCTGCAGCCCCCAGACCTCTGCTGCCTGGAGAACACTTATTTTCCAGCTGTGTCACCATGACCTGGCAGCAGCCTTCAGCACGTGGCTGAAGCCTCCTGGGACAAGCTGGATGCCAGCCTGAGCAGGGCAGGCAGGGGCCTGCGGCAGGCAGGATAAGCTGGTTCCTGCTCACCTTGCATTGTTGTTCCCAGCCGGAAAGGCTGTGGAAGAGGTGCCACAGCCCATTGCTCGGGCAGAAAGGGCATTTCCCTGCCATTATGTCTAGCTTGCTCCAGAAGAATAGCAGGAGATGGTACCAAGAGGCCAAAACACCCACTGACTGCTGTGGTTTATAGCTCTGCTTCCTGGCTGGCAGCAGCACAATCCCAAAGCATTCAGCAAGGGGAAGGACACAGCTCCAGGACACACCAGCCATCAACACAGGACTGCCCACCTCTCTCAACCACGTGCAGCCCAACTCAGCACCAGCCCTAGCAGAAGCACTGAGAATTTGGGATTTTACCCCAAAGAGAGCCAGGGAGGACCAAGAGTGATGGTTGGCAAGGGACTCCATTCAGCATAACACATCCAGTCCCATTCTGGGCTTGGTCCTTGTTCAGAGAATTATAGAACATCCTGAGGTGGAAGGGATGAATGAGGACATCAAGTTCCACTCCTAGCTCTGCAGAGGACAACAATCCCACCCTATGCCTGACTATCCAAACACTCCTTGAGTGGCAGCCTTGGGACCATGGCCACTCCCTGGAGAACCTGTTCAGTGCCCAACCTCTGGGTGAAGACCCTTTTTCTGATATCCAGGCAAATCCCACTGGGGCTTGGGCAGCGATGCCTTGGGAAGTCTCTTGGATGTGAATGGCCCACACAGCACAGGCAGAACTCACCTAGCCAGGAGTACCACATGTGCAAACCCCAAATCTGCAGTTGGGGGGAGCCGCACAGCCCAGCCAGCTCACAAACCACCGGCACCCATTAGCAGGAGGGACACAGTTGCAGGCAGAATCTGTCTGAAAGTCTTCTATGGTCCCCCACTGTTGCCCTGATTTTTTAAGATTTTCTAAGCTTTCTGATGTTTGTATTTTTGTATAAAACTTTCTTACACACTTTCTGTAAACAACTTATTGTTTTGCATTCTTTTATGGAGGAGGAAAAACTTGATAGACTATTAGTTTGTCCAGTGTCCCTAAAGAAGTAGCACTTTCACCCTCCAATCCTCTGTCACCTTTAGAAATCTATAAATGTAAGAGTCAGAAAATAAACTCTCTCTTTTTCCTGCCTGAGAGCAGCAGTGTGTCTGCGTCGTGTTATCTTGTGTCCTATAGCGACATCCCACACCAAAGCCCTTGGCCCAGGCACAGCCACGTGTGGAGGGCAGCAGTGACAGCCTGGCAGCACCAGTGCTGCTGGTTCAGCCCCACGGGAATGCTGAGCACTGCCCAGACCATGGCTGGATGTCCAGGGGAGAAACAGCTAACCTTCAAAACCAGCCACCCTCCTGCCTGGCAGCAGCGGGGTGTTTTGAAGCTTTTCTAGCAAAACCCCAAAGTTTGCTGCCCACTCTGGGATGGCAGCCCTGCCTCCCCCCACACAGCTTTCATGCCCACGCTGCCCTCACCAGTGTCTGATCCCATCACGGACCCACAGACCCTTCACTCCTGGGGACGTGTGACAGCGGCAGCAGCAGCAGCGAGGGGCAGTGGCACATGGGGATCCCCGATAAGCAGCTCCTGGGTGTGGACCAGAGATAAGGCGCCCAGCGGCACCACCTGCCTGGCTCACATTCTGCTCGCAAACCATCCCAAAAAGCCGTTCCCGCTGTTTCCGACACCGCGTGACACGCACACGACAGCTGGACGGTGTCCCCAGCTGCCAGCCTTGCCCGGGGGACGGCGCATCCTCAGCCAGCGCCCTCCGGTAGGGCCACCCCTGCTGTGGGTGGGGGGACACCGCCCACCCCCGTGACCGTGGGGTGACGGCCAGCGGCCCATCGATCCGGAGAGTGCAACTGAGCAGAACTGGAGGCCGAATAATGGAAAGTTACAGGCAGCTCTGGGCTGGTGCCAGCTCTTGGCAAAGGGCGGGAGGCAGTGACGCTGCCTGGGACTGGGGACAGTGCGGGAAGAGGGGCACCACCCCAGCTTGAGAGAGATGGAAATGGTGGAGGGTGGAAATAATGGAATAATGGAATTGTTAAGATTGCAAAAGAGCTTCAAGATCATTGAGTCCACCAAAATGTGTGAAGCAGCATTTGTATGGTGGGGGCAGGAATGGAGGTCAGCATCCCGATGGGGGGAAGGGGGACTTCAGGCGTGACAGCAACGCTGTGTATTGTCTGTCTGTGTGCAGAGGTGTGGGGGGAACACAACGCTCCAGGAGGTTGGGGAAAATAGGATGTGGCTGGCAGAGGGAAAATGGAATGGGGCAGGGGAAGGTAGTTAACATCCCATAGGAGATGGAAAATAGAGGTGGGAACCCCGTCAGGGTGTGCAGGAGGGTTCGGGGTGTACAGCACTGCCAGGGACGGGCGCACTCCGGTGTGTGCAAGGGAATAGATGGAGACAGGGGGGTGCAGCAGACAGGGGGGCAGCACCCACTAAGTGCAGAGGGGTGAGGGGAGCGAGACAGCCCAGCGGGGCTCAGCACCCCAGCGTGCAGGACACAGCCACCGCCACGTGCAGGTCACTGTCACCTCTGCCTGTGGGGCACTGTCACCCCTGTGTTCTGGGCACTGTCACCCCTGTGTTGTGGGCATTGTCCCCCCCTGTGTTGTGGGCACTGCCATCCCCGTGTGCGGGACATTGCCATCCCCTGTGTGGGGCACTGTCACACTGTCACCCCTGTGTGCGGGGCATTGCCATCCCCTGTGTTGTGGGCACTGCCATCCCCGCCTGTAGGGCACTGTCACCCCTGTGTGCGGGGCATTGCCATCCCCTGTGTTGTGGGCACTGCCATCCCCGCCTGTAGGGCACTGTCACCCCTGTGTGCGGGGCATTGCCATCCCCTGTGTTGTGGGCACTGCCATCCCCGCCTGTAGGGCACTGTCACCCCTGTGTGCGGGGCATTGCCATCCCCTGTGTTGTGGGCACTGCCATCCCCGCCTGTAGGGCACTGTCACCCCTGTGTGCGGGGCATTGCCATCCCCTGTGTTGTGGGCACTGCCATCCCCGCCTGTAGGGCACTGTCACCCCTGTGTGCGGGGCATTGCCATCCCCTGTGTTGTGGGCACTGCCATCCCCGCCTGTAGGGCACTGTCACCCCTGTGTGCGGGGCATTGCCATCCCCTGTGTTGTGGGCACTGCCATCCCCGCCTGTGGGGCACTGCCATCCCTGTGTTCTGAGCACTGTCACCCCCCCCTGTGAGGCACTGTCACCCCTGTGTTGTGGGCATTGCCCCCCCTGTGTGGGGCACTGTCACCCCCGTGTTGTGGGCATTGTCCCCCCCTGTGCGGGGCACTGTCACCCCTGTGTTCTGGGCACTGCCATCCCCGCCTGTGGGGCACTGCCATCCCTGTATTGTGGGCACTGTCACCCCCGCCTGTGGGGCACTGCCATCCCTGAGTTGTGGGCACTGTCACCCCCGCCTGTGGGGCACTGCCATCCCTGAGTTGTGGGCACTGTCACCCCTGTGCTGCGGGCACTGTCATCCCCGTGTGCTCAATGGGCGGTGCCACGGGGGGCCGAGGCCGTGACGCACGGCCCCGCAGCCAATGGGAGCGGGGGGCTGGGCGGGCGCAGCCAATGGCAGCGCGGCCGGGGCCCGCCCCGCACTCACCGGCCGTCGCCCAGGTCCTCCTCCACGCTGTAATCCAGCACGGCGCCCACGCCGAAGGCCTGGTTCCGCCGGAGCAGCGGCTTGATGGCCTCCTGGTCCTCCCCGGCCACGAACTGCCCGTAGAACGTCATCTTCATCAGCCGCTCGAAGAGCGTCTGCCCCAGCAATCGCTGGCACAACTGCAGCAGCTGCGGGACAGCGGCGGCTCAGCACCCGTCCCGCACGGGCACTCCCGTGGGAGAAGTCCCCAAGACCCAGGATGGCATTCCTCAAAACGGGCTGCCGCCGGCTCGGGTCCAAGAGCTCTCCAACACCCGCACCCTCAGACCGAGGGTCCCCCTGGAAGGGGAGTGACACGTCCCGAAATGGGCACCCCTAGGGTGAGAGCGCCCCCAGCCCCGGACCGGCGCCTCCCGGAGCGAGAGTATCTCTGGCACGCAGCAACATCCTGCAAAACAGGCACTCTCCCGGAACGAAAGACCCTCCCACTCGGGGCAGTCACCCCCGGAGCGACAGAACCCCCATCCCGCACCGACACGTCCGGAAGGGGCACTGCCCATCCTGGGACTCGTAGTCCCAAAATGGAACTTCCCGGAGCAAGAATCCCCTCCAGGAGGAGGCTGACACCTCCCGGAGCGGGCGCCCCTGAGCGAGGGCCCCGCCGGTGCAGAGCCGGTGACCCCCCGAACGGGGACAGGCCCTGCCCCGGAGCAGCCCCCGGGCAGAGCCTTCCTCCACCCACCTCCCGGTTGTGCTGCACCAGCGGCTCCACGGCGCACAGCCCTAGCACCACTAGCCCCCGCAGCAGCTCCGCGTTGCTCTTGCTGCGGAACGCCTCGCGCGGGTCCCCGAAATCCACGGCGGGCGGCGGCGGGCCCCGCTCCGCGCCCCGCGGGGGAGGCGGCGGCCCCGGCCGCGGTCGCCGCCCGCCGCCGCCTTAAGTAGGGCCCGCGCGGGACCGCCCCCGGGCTCCCCGCTCCGCGGCCCCGCTCCGCCCCGCCTCTGGCCGCGCGCTGCTGCCGCCGGAACCGGCACCGGCACTGGGACAGCGACTGATTCTGAAATCGGCACCGGCCCGGCAGCGGGACTGGGAATTGGACTGGCACTGGCACCGAGACGGGCATCAGCGCCGCCACGGGGGTGGGAACCGGGATCCGGGATCGCCACTGGGACTGGGACTGATTCCGGGACTGGCACCGACACCAGGACAGGGACTGGCAGTGGAACTGGGAACGGGACCGGCACCGAGACCGGCACTGGAACCGAAACCGGAAGGGGGACCAGGACTCGGACCTGGACAGGAACCGGGACCAGCACCGGCCCAGGGATTGGTACTGGGACCGGAACTGCGAGCAAGACCAATGCTGGCATAGGTACCGGGTCGGGGATAGGAACCGAGGCTGGCAAGGTCACCGGGACCAGCACCAGGACTGGAGCCACCCTGCCCAGCGCACCCCGCTCCCCCAGCCCCCTGCCCGGTGCCTTCCCCAGTCCCATCCCCTTGAAGCAGCCGGTCCCAGGGGCACCTCCCTTCCCTGAAAGCCCCAGGGAGGCCTGGAGGGGCAGGTGCGGCTCAAAGGGAGCCCTGGGTGGGGCCTGAAGGGAACTCTGTTCTTGGAGCAGTGTTGGGAGCGGGGCAAAGAGGACCTCATGCCCTTGGAGGAGCCTTGGGAAAATTATGAAGGTCCCAAGGGAGCCCTGAAGGGGACCTGTGGGAAGCACAGGGGCCAATCCTGCGGGGCCAAGAGGCTACTGACTGCTCAGACAGCCCCAGGGAGGGCCAAAGGATGCATCAAAGGGTGTTTGCTCCCTCGTAGCCATCCCTGGGGCAGGCTGTGGTATGTCCACCCTGTGGAGCTGGAAACACTTGGAGAAGGGATCTCAGACCTGCGGGACCTGTTCTGGGAGAGATGTTTCAAGCCCCTGTACTTGCTCCTCTCCTCCTGATGAGTGTGTGAACATTTTAGGAGTTTCAGCTGAATCCTCACTCGTTTGGTGGGGTCAATGGGTGCTTGGGTTGCTTGCGGCAGCAGACTTGGCTCTCTCGTCATGGGCTGGGGCTGTTGGGCTTCACCGAATCCGCAGAGCACCGGAGAGGGCTGGCAGGGCTTCGGGGTCTTCCCAGGCAGGGCGAGTGCCCGTCCTGCTCGTGGCAGGCGTTTGCCTGAGCTGTTCCTCCCCGGCACACCCAGTGCTGAGCTCCGGAGATTACCGAGCACATCCCTGACACCCGCGTCCAGGAATGCTCCTGAGAGCTGGCCTGGGAGATCAGGTACCTCCCTTCCTTTTCGCGGGATTGTTTCACAGCTGCATCACAGCTGCATAATTTCTCTGTGCCCACGTCCCTTCTCTGTGCTCTCATCCCCTCTCTGTGCCTACGTCTTTTCTCTTTATGACCATTTTCCTTCGCCGTGCCCACCTCTCCAGCCCCGTTTCCAGTGGCTCCCGGAGGATGACTCCGGGCTGATGAAGAGCTGTCCAAATCCAGCTCCTCAGTGACATCTTGTGCTGGGAATGCTCAGCGCAGGCAGGAGATGGGAAAATTAGTTCCTGCGATTGTTTTTTCCTGCCCTCCCCAACAATGACATTGCTGAGGCAGTCAGCAATGGTAACCGGCAGTGAAACCACGGGGATTCCCTGAGCTCATTTGTAAGGTTTTCTTTGGGAACATCTTGTCCTTCCACGGAGACAGCCAGGCAATGGCATTGACTCTGACAGAGCTGGGTACAAAGCTCTGGAAAAGCATCCACTTCCTCCAAAACATTCCCTGTGCTAACTCTTTTGTGCCATTTAAAGATAATAATAGTTCACCCAAAGTTCCTTGCCGTGATGAGACTGCACATATGAACTCTTGGGATGCAGTTCAAACCTTGTTTCTCAGCCAACTGCCACAGAGAAAATTCCCTTCAAAGGCTCTAATGGCACCAGTCACCTCTGGGAAACACTCACCCGGTCTTAGCAGGGAAAGCTTCCAAGCGCTGCCTGCTGTGCCAGCAGAGCTGCAGCCCTGCAGCATCCAGCTGGGTGCAAAACCAGGTCCGAGATTCTGAAGAAACTTTAGTCTCAGACCTAAACTCAGAGCCACTTTTGACGGAGGTGAAATCTGATGAGGTTTCTCTCAGGATGGTGGTGCCCGAAGCAGAGAAAATCCCTGAGCTGGCAGCCCTGCCAGTGGCAGGGAGATCAACAAGGGATGCTCCAGGCTGCCGTGGGGACCATACCAAACCCTCGAGGGTCACTGTGGGTCCTTGCTCCCTTGTCCCCCAGCTCCCAATCTCCCTTGGCTGTGACATTATGCCCTCAAGGGGGCATAATGTTCCTGTCTCCACCATGCCCAGGCAGGTGCTGCTGGCACAGAGGGGCTGGTCTCTGCTCACGGTGGCTGCAGCTGACATGGGAAGCTCAGTCCAGCCCATGGCTGGAACACACATCACAGACACAGCCATGCTGCTCTACCCCACATGGGGAACATGGCCGAGGCTGGATAGCACAGAGCCAAGTCCTTTCTCGGGCACTCTCGCCTGCACCAGCAATGGGAATAAATCCAGGAGAAGCTGTTATGGATGGCTTGAGAAGCTGTAAAATGTGAAGAAACATTTGAATGTGAGACAAATAGGCAAGGAGGGAATTTGGCACAGGAGGAGATGCAATTTAGAAGGAGAGGCCATGCCATGCATATTTCATGGGTCGGCCCTCAGCAGAGGCTCCTCTGACACCACAAACATCACAGATGGCAAGGAGTAACAGCAGCCGCTCCCAGCATCTGGGAAGGAGAACAGTGGGATGATCGCTCCTCCTGCCACATGGTAGAAGTGGGCCAGGACACAGATGCTGGAAGCTGCTGGCTCTGCTTCCTGGGTGTGGGACCAGCCTTCCTCACCCTCCTCTTCCTTCAGCCCAGTGCCAGACTAGGGGCAAGCCTGCCCCATCCTTGGGGCTGGGGCTCTGTCCTCACTGTCCCACAGCTCTGTGAGCCCTCCAGCCCTGCTGCCCCAGCACTTTGTGCTTCCAGCATTGCTCCTCTGATGTTTCCTTGGAGAGTGCTGACTCAGGTCCTCCTCTGTCGGGTGTTTCTCACTGACCATATGCCTGACTTACCTGCGCTACCAAATCACTCCCAGCGCAGGCCAGCATGCACGAGGGACACCTGCAGCCTGTGGGAGCAGGGTGGATCCTCAGCTGGCATCTGCTACAGGTGCCCCTTGGAACAGCAGGTGCTGGGGTGGCAGGAGCTGGGTGGGTCAGAGTCTGATGTGGATCCACTGGCAAAACCCAGGAGAAGGTGGACTTCAGGACAGTGCTTCCCAAATTGCAGTCACGTGTGGGTTTTCATCTTGTAGGGGGTTATTTTTCTTCACAAGAGGCTTCATCTCCCTCTGTGCAACTCTTTAGGGAGAACTCCAGATCTACTACTGCCCACTCTGAGGGGATAAACCCCTGTGGGGTGCACAGGAGCTCCTGGCTCCTGTGGGTGTGTTTGGATAATGAGTTGGTGCTCTTTGACTCTACCTAAGCACCCTGTCAGCCTCAGTGTCACCCTCCTGGGGGTGAATCTGACTTGTGCCACAGCATGGACCACACTCTGGCATCAGGATGGAGGAACCAGCCTTCTCACAGCTGGGGAAGCAGGGAACTGCATCCTTCCCCTTGCACTTGGTGCTGCAGAGGCTGCAGGAGGTTCAGCTGCTCCAGCAGGATTAGGGGTGATCCTTATCCAGGTGTGGCACAGGCAGATCAGGCTGTGGTGTCCTGCCTCCATGAGAGCAGAGTAGGAGTTTGGGAACTTGCTGGTCACCTGGGGAGTCACAGGGTGGGAGCTCCAGTTCCTGGGGCATTCATTTGGGTTGGGGGCCCTGGAGAGAGCAGCTGAGAGCTGCCACAGACCCTGCAGAGGAAAGAGATGCTGGGTAGCTCCTCTTGCAGGTGATCTCCTGGCCAGCCCAGACTTTGCTCTCCTAGCATTGTTGGATTTTGAAAGCTAGGCTGTGTTCTGGTCCCTGGCATTTTCCACCTGCATCCCAATGATTTTTGGTGAATCACTTGCAGCCTAAGAAATAAATGTCTTGTTGGTTCTTCCTGTGAGCTCCTGAGTGCAGCTCAGCAGCCATGAAAAAATACCCAGGTGAATTCCTGGTGAATACCAGATGAAGTCTCCACAAAGGTCAATGCTATTGAAAAACAAATGGCCTCTGAAAGGGACCCTAGGAAGTATCCCAGGCAAGGAAAGACACATCAGACTTACCACATCAGTTAATTGTTTCTTTGCAGAGAGTCCTTCTCTTTTTCCTTCCACTGGCAGAAGGGAGTCATGTGAGATGTCCACAAGTGTGCCTGGGGGAAAAGGAACACCAGTGAAGACCTGAAACAATTTTGCTGCTCTTACAGCTGAGAAAGGATCATGCTGGAAGGTTTCTGTGGAAGTGGGGCCTGGGAAATGGACATGAAAAGCCTTTTTTCCCAGCTGACTCCCTTGGCGGGTGAGTTGTTTACAGAGCCTGGATGCCAGAGTGCCTGGAAGGGAGCCAGCTCTATTTTAGCCCTTTGTAAGTGATTTAAACACCTCGTGCTGGGGAAACATTCCCAGGAAAGGGGATGCTTGGCCCTTCTTCCTGGGCAGACCAGGGGTGTGCAGGAGATGGTGGGAGGCAGAAGGAGCCAGCCCTGGCAGGGACAGCAGGAGTGTGTGGTGAGGATGGCTGTGCCCCTCCTGTCCCCCAAGAGCTGCTGCTGAGACCTGAACCAGCTGCTCCTAGTCCAGCTGGCCAGAGGCATCCTACCAAACCCCTCCCAGGTGATGTTCCTGAGGAGCCCCTCTACTTTTTGCAGCCTTTGCCTGCCAGGAGCATCCCCTGGGAAGGCCAGTGGAGCCAAAGGTCCCAGGTGCCCTGTGGGATCCCAGCCAGGTGGGGAGAAGGGGCAGAGCTCCCTGCAGCACCTGGGGGCAACCACACATCATGGGACTGGGGACAAGCTCCTGAGGCTGGAGCAGGACAATTCCAACCCCCCCTTACCCTAGAGGAGCTGGCTGCTCCTTATTGATTAATGTGGTGGCTCATTCTCTAAAAATAGGCTCTTAATTACTGAGCCTCTGGAAACAGTTGTCTCACAGCAAAATCTGATTGATTTGAGGGCAGCTGTGGCTCTGGTGAGGGCCTGGTGGCCACAGAGCCTGGATGGCTCCTGCCAGAGACAGCTTCTGGCCAGAGGAGGTTTCAGGCTGGTTCAGGTTCCCAGCTCACAGCTAATGGATATCTATTTTTTCCAAGTGTTACTTGGTTTTGCTTCTTAACTTTCTGTGTATGTAATTGCAAGCATGTGGCACCGAGAGGCACTTGGACTTCTCTTCCAGTGGAACAAAATGGGAGGAAAAATGTTCATTTTCCCCTAGTGCTCCTGAACTGTGTGTAGAGAAGCAGTTTTTCTGCTTTCTTTATTTCTTAATTTTATTCTTTTTGTTGTTGTTGTTGTTTCCCCCCTTCTTCCTTTACATGGACAAATACTTTGCGGGATTTTTCATGCTTTTCCCTTATTCTCC